GCGCGCGCGCTGGACACTGGCAGGCTGATTTTCCCCAGATAATAATTATATTGATATTAAAAGATACCACCAGATAGAACCATCTTCCATCAGTATTTTTAGTAATGTGTGTCGTGACAATGAAAACAAATCAGAGATGAAGACTAGTTTTCAGTTTGCCTTCACTTGGTTGCACGCCCTGCGCACCACTTTTTAATAGAAGTATGCATGGTGCGCAATACCTGCCTAACAAGCCCTGACAGTTATGGACCATTCTTTAGTCACCGAACAACTCAAACTAGTTAGCAATTGCAAAATGTCCAGCAATTCAATAAGAAAAAAACAAACAATTATTTTTGGGGCCCGGCATGCTTTATATGAATTCTCCCAAATAGACAGAAGGGGAAAGGGGTTTGTGACAGTAGTAGGTGTCATAAATGTGTTTTGCACGTATTCACCTTATACTTTGCTGGCTTTAGGGCACACTCCCATTTAAGCACGATTGCTATTGATTTGATGAGGTTTATACGCTTTTGAATAAACTATTTTGATTAACGATATGTGATCATTTTATTAAAAAAATATATATTTTTGACAATTTACAACAATGTTTGGAGCTGTGAGGAGCTGTTGGCTGTATGAGAGGGCCCTGTCAAAACATGACTAGCCAAGTATGACTTCTGGGTTTGCTAATTAAGATGAAGGTTAAGAGGAGTCATTTGTCCACTCTACTCTGTTTATATGTTTTTGTATACATAGTAAACACACAGCACAAATACTCAGTCTGTCAAGCTCCAGGAGGCAAATGGGGTTCCGGTGTCTTGCTCAAGGGCACCTTGGCAGTGCCCAGGACTTGAACCGGCGACCCTCCGGTTACACACTGAGCTACTGCGGCTTTGATTTTAAGTTGATAGGTTTTATTGTCATAATGTACAATAGCTACAGTGTGTTTAGGGCAACATCATAAGTCCCATTAATGCTCCTTCATCAGTGCAACAAAAATGACAAATAGAAACAGAACAGAAATAAAATAGAAATGTGAGAATGAGATTGTTGCAAGTGACTAATGTGTAGGTAAATGCGTATTCATGTGAAATGAAATTAGCTGAACTAAAAATAGAATGTACATTTAAATATTATTATTTATAAATGTGTTTATGTATCTATTTTCTGGCGGGAATGGGCTCTTCACAAATACAACTGAAAACAAAACGGAACTACTGTTTTCACAGTAGCGGCGGAATGTTTTAACAGACGGACTACGGACAACTAGCTAGTTAGCGGCCGTTGGAAACAAAACCAGACTCCACTCAAAGCAAGTTCTCATGTTATCGAGCGAAGCCTTGGCTGTATTCAGTTAAATACCTAGCTAAACCACATTTCAGATTGAACTGTTTTCCTCCAGGGGATTTAGACTTTCGTGGTGAAGATGGGAGTACCGAAATTTTATCGATGGATTTCAGAGCGATATCCCTGCCTTAGTGAAGTTGTCAAGGAACATCAGGTAGGAAACATCGTTAGCTTCGCAAGCCACTGTTGCTCATAGCCGCAGCGTTAGCTTAGCTAGCTGTTTGCTATCAGCAAAGTACACCGTCAGTGGGCCTTGGAACTTTTATTCCACTTACGTTAGCTCACCAATGTGTTTGCCCGGCCACTTCTGACTGACTCTTACATTTGATAACATACAACATATTGCTAGTCAAATTGGCGTCATACCAAATTCCAACACTTACTCGCTTACCATTGTATATGTTCTACGTGTACACATTTACCAGTGCAAAAATACATCTTAGTAATACACATGTTACCACCGACTTGTTTAGGTCTTCGTTGAGATTTTGAAAAACAATAAACCCCTCACAGTCAGATAGGCTAACCAACTTTATGCTAACTAAATGTAGCTAGTTATTTGGTTTACATATACTTTGTGTCACGTTGTCTAGAAGGGTTTAAAATGCAATACATATATGGCCACGTTTTATGTGATATGAATTCAAGTTATTTAGTCTACTTTAGCGGCACTGGAATTGACTTTAGTGACCTAGTTCCTTGTGTCGTAGGGCAGATAGGGTTTCATCAGCTGGACGTTGATTAGTGTCACTCTCATTGCGTAAGCCAGCTCTGAAATGTGTGTTAAAACAATACAAAGGAAGATTAATGCTAGCATCTTTATATTGGATGACAATGGATACGAAACATATGTTGTTGTTTTCATTTTCTGGGAATTATCTGTTAATGATTTCAAAAACATAAAATACATGTTCTCCTTTTGATTGTATTTCATAAGATCAATTTTACTTTATTGATACAAAATTGACCTTTTTTTGTAACGGCATAAGCATTTTTACAAGGCATTGCACATGGACAACAATACAATAATAAATAATAATAAACTGTAAATACAGACGTAACAGCAGTAGAGACTGAAACATTGTTATCCCCATAGGTTATCCCTTATCCTTATGCCTAACATTTTCCCTTTTTCCAAATTAAATGTACCTGAAAATAAAACCAAACAACTTACAATATCTTTGTTGCCAACAGCTGTTTTCCAGGATTCAAGAAATATAAAAATATTTTTGAATATTGGTAACTTTTTTGTATAATATCAAAAGTGTATGCTCAGTTTTGTTTCTTTCTCTCCTCAGATTCCAGAGTTTGACAATCTCTATCTGGATATGAATGGGATTATCCACCAATGTTCCCACCCGAACGATGAGGATGTCCACTTCCGCATTTCCGAGGAGAAGATTTTTGCCGACATCTTCCATTACTTGGAGGTGCTGTTCAGGATCATCAAGCCCCGCAAGGTGTTCTTCATGGCGGTGGACGGCGTGGCACCAAGGGCGAAGATGAACCAGCAGAGAGGACGGAGATTCAGGTAGAGATGGATGAGAAGAAACATGGAGAATCTCCTTTTCTCCTGTGGTTGTGTAGCTGACACGCAGAATGGGCTACACGTCCTGAAATCAATGCAGCTGACTTTGTTATGCTAGCTGGAAAACATTCTCCTGTTGTAACTACAGAATTTAATTACTTTTATAATTTTTTGGCATGGGATGTTTTTCCCTTAGTATTAACACACTTCTAACTGTGGTAAAACAAATATATTTTCAGTTTCTTATCTTATTTTTTATTATATATAATTTTTTTGACTGAGTGTGTAAGGGTGTGGATACCATATTGTTCAACATTTTAAAGATGCTACGTAAAAAATAAAAATACAGAGTAAAGAATGAGAATCCTAGGTCTGCACCTTGATTCTGTGTGTAAATAACAGCATGTTTTCTTAATGTTATCTGATCAAGGCGCAAAGTCTTTTTGCACATTTATTTGTATACATTCACTGTTATAGTTCTTTGTCTGATGTACTGCATATAAGGCAGAATGAAGCTCAAACAGAACTGAAATGCAACATTGGCTTAGTAAACATTTCAGAAACCCGACTACAGGGAGACACAGACTGTGAGTTTGACCTTCTCTCTTTTATATGTGTGTCTGTCTGTGTATAGGTCTGCCAAAGAAGCAGAGGACAAGATAAAAAAAGCTCTGGAAAAGGGAGAGGTGCTTCCCACAGAGGCTCGCTTCGACTCCAACTGTATCACCCCTGGTAGGCACGCATGCCCCTCAGTTTGACACTCGACAAACGTCACACAGTTAAATTGAGCTGTAGCAGAACATGTACCTCTTCATTTCAGGGTAGGGAGATATTTGAGTACTTATCAATCTACATTCATATTTAAAGTGAAAGGGTTTCTTCATATTTTCATGGTCAATCTGACAATTAGCCAGAAATAACAAGATAAAAAATGTGTGGATGCCACATGACAATTTCTATATTCTGAGAGTCCTGCTGACTTCTGATCACTTCCCCAGGAGAAATCTTTGGGGCCTTCAAAACTTTGGCTGAATAATAATAGATAATACCACAACAAGAAAATGCAATGCAACCACTGGCACAATTAATCAATTATTCATACATATTTTGGACAACGCTAACATGTCAGAGGTATCTGTTCTGAGTAGTGATGGGAACGATTAATTGAATATTCAAAATTATTCAGGTATTCGAATATGAGTTATGAATATTTTTATTGTAATTTTTTTCTTTTTAAATAATTTGTTTTTGGGTGGGGTGCCTAAGTTGATTACATATTATCAAATGGAATAATTCAATGTATACGACAGTGCCATAGCTAAGTGTGTTAGGTCTAAAGGTGTGTTTTTCTCCGCTCACCGGTCCCTCACAGCGGGCAGAGCTGCAGATGCTGATCTCTCTCGCGTCCGGTTAGAGTTCACTCACGTTTATGTCCAAATCCATCAGAAAACCAAGTTATGTTTTAAGCATGAAAGCTCTATGCCTATAGCTGTCAACTGTTCAAACTGTGATCACCAGTTCAATACATTTGACAAATTCGACTTGGTTTCTATACTTATTTGAACATGTATTTATTTATTTTTTCTTTTCTTTTGTAAAAATGTTTCCCACATTTTTTTATTTATTTTTATGGAATATGTACTTTTCGGTTAATCGGTTAACCGTTTTTTGGGGGACGAATATTCGAATATACATTTGCCTTCAAATTCCCATCCCTAGTTCTGAGAGGTTGTCAGCCGCTCTCTTTAACCACGCATCCTTCTTCCAGGCACTGACTTTATGGCCAGACTCCAGGAGCAGCTCAAGTATTTTGTCCACAACAAGCTGTCCACCGACAAGCTGTGGCAGAACGTCAACGTCTACCTGTCGGGTCACGAGGTACGGCAACAGCTGTTTTCACACTTTTCAGACTCTGTGATTCGACCACTGCTTCAATAAGTGGTTGTCTACATACTTTACCACCTGCAGCCATAGTACCTTAAACTGCAATTCAGCATCAATATCTTATTAATACTCATACACCAGTGATTGTACTGGTTATATACCTTAATACAATGTAAAAATGTGTACTCTCATTTATTATCTTATATTAATATCTTAAGGCTATTTATCTGATCTTTTATTGGAAATGTTCACTTTAACTTTTAATGTTTATATACGTTTTTTATTTTACTTTAACTTATGTTTACAAACACATTCTTATTCTATTTTATTTAATCTTTTATTTGACATTTTTACTTTAACTTCTTATGATGATTGTCATATATTTTATTTAAATTGTTTTACTTTTTTATTGCACATTCTTAGTTTAACCTCTTATGTTTAGATACATACTTTTATTTTAATTGTATTTAATTGTATACAAACATCAAGCAACTCTCACAAAACAAAATTTTCCCTGGAATAAATAAAGTTTTTTTGATTCTAATATTTAGCTTTCCTCCCCTTACAGACTCCAGGCGAGGGCGAGCATAAGATCATGGAGTTTATTCGCTCTGAGAACAGAAAGCCAAGTCACAACCCCAACACCCGACACTGCCTGTACGGCCTGGATGCTGACCTGGTACGGTTTCTGTGCCCTTGGATGAAGATATTGTCCCTCCTCTTACCATTTGTTTGATACTCACACTATCCTGCTCTCCTGTGTTTTAGATCATGTTGGGTTTGACCAGCCACGAGCCAAACTTCTCCCTGCTCAGAGAAGAGGTCCGCTTTGGAGGAAAGAAAAACCAGAAAAGGTTCACTTCCTTCCTAAATTTTGAATAGTATTTGTTTACATATTTTTACTTTAACTTCTAATGTCTGTATACGAGTATTCTATATGTTTCTTTTATTTATACATATTTTAAATGTAATTCTAAAATGCTGCACCGTCACCAAAACCCAATTTCCCCTGGGATAAAGTGCTCACAATTGTATTCCATGTTTTTTCTAGTGGTGTGTCATCTGTCAGTTCTGTCACACTCTGAACGCTTCTCTCTTCCTCTCCTGTAGGATAACGGCTCCAGAGGAGACTACCTTTCATTTGCTTCACTTGTCTCTGATGAGGGAATACATCGATTATGAGTTTTCTGGGCTCAGGGTGAGACATGCACACACACACACACACACACACACACACACACACACACACACACACACACACACACACACACACACACACTGGCACACACACACACACAGTTTCCGTCATGGAAAAATCCCACTCTAATTCTGCAAACAAATGCACAGGGCAGGTTTTAAAATACATTTTAGTGTGGCTTTATCGTAATATCTGTGCTCTATATTCTGATGACTTTTCTGTGTGTTTTCTTACAGAGTCACCTCGGTTCTAAGTATGACCTGGAGCGAATAATAGACGACTGGATTCTAATGGGCTTCCTAGTGGGGAACGATTTCATCCCCCACCTCCCAAATCTTCACATCAGTCATGATGCTTTGCCGCTGCTATACAGGACCTACATCTGTGCTCTGCCCACCATAGGGGGTGAGACACACACACACACACACACACACACACACACACACACACACACACACACACACACAGTCATAACATGCTTTTCTTGGAGAGATTTGATGTTGGATGTAAATATCGAGCAATATCAGAAGTTTCTCGTGCTCTAGATGTGTTTTTTTTGTAATTGTGTGGGTAGTTACTTTACTTTACTAGAATATATAATTTGTGCGAATTTGATGTATATCATAGATACAAATATCCTGTTTTCTACCTCAGGCTATCTCAACGAGAACGGCCATCTGAACCTCCGAAACTTTGAGAAATACTTGGAGAAGCTCGCTGAGGTGAGACAACAAAAGCTGATTCACTTATGATACTTAGTTTTCGACAATACTTTATTTATTGTACTAGTAACTGTTATTATGTTATTATGGTTGTGTTTTATTTTACATTTAAAACTTCTATGAAGGTTTGCAAAATGAGTTTTGAATATCTGATGTCATCCCCCTAACAAATGTGTCAAATATATCTATTTGTTGATATTTATATGTATGGTGTTCCGGACTGCACTGTGGGCGGTGTGTGACAAGCTTGAGAGCTGTTTTTTGACCAAAACTTTAAAACACTCAATTCAAATTCAAAATGCTTGGATCACACACGTCTTGAACAATCCTACGAAGCCACGGCTGGAATACAGTTCTACAAATAGCATGATATGATATGTATGATAATTATCTTATGTATAGCTGTAGCCTCATCTTTATCTGCAACTGTGCCGGAATATTGGGTTAAACACAACGAGTAGGCATGCAACACAGAGTAGAAACTATTTGGTATATGATTGCATTTATTTGAAAAAACACACACAAATATAGTTTAAATATGTTGCTAACTTTCTCTCCTTCTTTTTTCTCTAGTTCGATCGAGAGCATTTCAATGAGGTCTTCGTGGACTTGAAGTGGTTTGAGAGTAAAGTTGCTAACAAGTATCTGAACGAGGCGGCCGGTAAGGCAGCAGAAGAGGAAGCCGCCAGCAGAGACAATGACAAGAATCAGGTCTGCTTATGTCCAAATATTTTTCGTTATATATCTATACACACTTTGGCATTAAACCCAATATTTTCTTCATTTCTTATGCAAAGAGTTTATATTCTTGTAATTTAATAACGTGTGTTTTTTGTTCAGGACTCTGTCTCATCTGGAAGGCTGGTCGGAGAAGGAAAGGGAGGCGACGATGAGGAAGAGGAGGACGATATGTTTGAAACAGAGTTCAGACAGTACAAGCGCACGTACTATATGACCAAGATGGAAGTGGATGTGGTGTCAGAGTGAGTGCACACAAATACAGGGCATGGAACAGCAATCAATGCTGTTTCCTGTAATGGTTTGCACACTACCTGATTTAATCAACTAAAAGTTGTTGGAAATTGGTATCGTAACACTGTCTCAGTTTGAGTAATGTTGAAAACATTTTTTTTGCAGGTACTTTTTTTTAGTTTTTTCCTCCGTAGCTGGTCAGCTTTTACATATTTCATGCCCTACATCAATCTTTAATTCTTATGTCACCCTAACATCTGTTTGTATTCTCATCTGCAGTGATTTTCTGGCCAACCAGGCTAAGTGTTATGTGGAAGGTATCCAGTGGATTCTTCACTACTATTACCACGGGGTTCAGTCCTGGAGCTGGTGAGCTTCTTCTCTAAAGTCACTTTTTCACCTTCCTGTGGTCTGAGGAGAAGTCTGATGATGTATTGATGGATCTTGAAACATGTGGAATTATCGTATAATATCTCAGACTGTTCCTATGATTCTGTACAGAAACTAAATCTACACTTTCACAACCATGCCTTTTAATAAGATACACAAATAAGAAAAACAAATGTCTACAAATGTTGCCAACATGATGTAATGCACACAAAAATAATGGCAACATATTTCCCTGACTCGCCTTCCTTACATCTCGTCTCTTTAAATGATCTTTATTGAAATCAGTGTTTTAATATGGTGTGCATGTCCCTTCAGGTACTACCCCTTCCACTACGCTCCCTTCCTGTCGGACATCAGGAAGATAGCCGGGTTGAAGTTGACCTTTGACTTTGGGAGACCCTTCATGCCCTTCCAGCAGCTGCTGGCCGTCCTGCCTGCTGCCAGCATGGAGCTGCTGCCTGAGAGTTACAGGGTAACACACTCCTGTCCAAGCACACACTCTCACACACATACAACAGTTAGTATGCACAGAATATTTACAGTGAGTTAATCTGATTGGTTTTCACTTTGTACAAGTATACTAAAACTCAGTATTAAGTACCATTTTAGAAGACCAATCTGACTTCAGAACAGTACATCAACTCCGAGTGATCAGAACAAGTTTACTAGACACACAAATTAAATTGAACATTTGTGTTATTTTAGAGAAAATATCAAGATATATTTAAAATATTCTGATAGATAGCATTTAAATATTGTGATGTTATTTGTAAAGCATATTGCCCAGCTCTAAGGGGTAAAAATACACAGTATATCTTTTGAAATATTTATGTTTCTATCTTTCTTTCTCTTCTTCCCACTGTAAATATATAAACATTGTAGGGATTCTATATCATATGTACAATAATATTAACTCTGCACTCTCGGAATAATTTAAAAACACATATACGTATGTGCAAGATAAACATAAAATAAAAAAAAGATAATGAATAGTTTTTGATGTTTCAGCACCTGATGAGCAGTGAAAACTCGCCCATCATTGAGTACTACCCTGTTGACTTCAAAACGGACCTCAACGGCAAGCAGCAGGAGTGGGAGGCTGTGGTTCTGATCCCCTTCATAGATGAGGTACACACACACACACACACACACACACACACACACAGAGGACAAACTCCTACATTTATTAAAAAGCGTACTCGTATGTGTTTTTATTGAACAGAGGTGCTTACTGGGAGCCATGGAGCCCTATAACGACAAGATGACGAAAGCGGAGAAGGACAGGAACTGTCACACAGATTGTGCCGTTTACTCGTACGACTCTGAGGTCGACTTCCCCTTAAACTCCAGCCTGCCGCAGCTCTTCCCCGACATCATGCACTGCAAAGTCAGGTGGGTACACACGCACACACTCACACTCACGAAATACAGTTGTCTTTCTCTAACAATCTTTCATAGTCCGCTACAATAAGGAGAAAGTAGTATAAATAATAATAATGTCATATATATATAATGCCTTTTTCTTATGTCTATATAAATATTTGTATTTGTTTGTTTATGCTGCGACTGTCACAAAAGCTTAATAAAGAATTATCTTTCAGAATAGTGAAAAATAATACTAGAGATTCAGGTCAACATCCTTTTTATAAATACAATTGCACCTCACTTGAACAAGAGTAAACGGATAATGAAACAAATAGGTTATCAAATGTTGGTTAAAGTGTTCAGAGAGACTCCATTCCTATGACATTTACTGTTTGTTACAGGAAATCAAACATCCCTATGGATGCTTGGTATGTTCCTCTGGACCACGTCAGCAGACGCCTCGACCGCTCAGCTCTGTACTTCTGCGGCTTCCCCACCCTGCAACACATCAAGCACAAGGTGTGTGTGTGTGTGTGTGTGTGTGTGTGTGTGTGTGTGTGTGTGTGTGTGTGTGTGTGTGTGTGTGTGTGTGTGTGTGTGTGTGTGTGTGTGTGTGTGTGTGTGTGTGTGTGTGTGTGTGTGTGTGTGTGTGTGTGTGTGTGTGTGTGTGTGTGTGTGTGTGTGTGTGTGTGTGTGTGTGTGTGTGTGTGTGTTCTTTACACCTTTTATAGAAAAGAAAGGAATGACGTATTGTTGTAGGCTTACCCGGAAGTTAACATTGCGTTGATAGCTTGTTGTCATTGGATATTAAGAAATGGTCTCTCACCCCTCTAACTGTTCCTGTCCCTCTTGTCCATGGCTCACTTTTAGTTTTTCAAGAAGAAGAGTGGAGTGATGGTGTTCCAGCAGAGCAGCCGAGGGGAGAACATGATACTGGAGATCCTGCACACCGAGGAAAGCGAGGCGGTAAGCTATTTACTCATCTCATTTCATAAAGACACTGCTGAAAATACAGACTTTAGCATAAAAAAAAAAAACAATTAGTAGAATACCAGGCACACAAATGTCTAACAGGTTAAAAATAATGAAGTGAGGTTTTTTTGGACAGACGTAGCTTTATAATAGAATACATGTATTGCTAGTTATTGCCATAGGTGCTGACTAAGAAATGCAATGAAGCCGGTTTCCTCTGGTCGATGAATGGGATACAAAAAGTGTTTTGTATTGTCATCATGACCTTCTCGTGTCTGCACTGTGTAGGTGTAACATGTAGGAGAACAGGGTTCTGATTTAGGCATTTTTCATAAATACTAAAACACCCAGATATAATATTTAGTTTTTCTGCTAGTTACTTTTGCTCGTACTCTTTTAAACACTGTGTATATAAACGTTCCACTGAAACCTACTGACCCCTGTTTCTTTTCCGTTTGTTCCTCTTTAGTTATGTGATGCTGTGTCTGCAAAGGTTCTTGGGAAGTCTGTGTTTGTCAACTGGCCGCATCTAGAGGAAGCACGCATCATCGCAGTGTCAGATGGAGACGTCAAGTAAGATTTAGTACTGGGCTGAATGTCTCAAATATGGATATATTTATTTAATTAATCACCATTTTCACACTCTGGCTAATTCTTCACATGGATACATTATTAAAAACATAGAGTAGAATGTAGGTATGGCTGTGATTCAGGAGAATCTGTGTGATTTTGAAGGAAAGCCTTTATCAGCCAATAACAACTTAAATCAAATAATTATGTTGATGGAAAAGACACATCCTGTGATAACGAGACACATGCTGAATTACTTAATGTAGCATGCATGTGACTTTTCTCAAAGGGAGTTTGAATAATAAAAGTATGACAGCAACAACACACATTTCAGCCATTTTGAAGAAGCACACCTAAAAATAAGTACTATATTTTTAAGTACACGCTCTTAACTTGAACAGATATGTTTTAGTTGGGCCTAATTATCTGGTTAGAATATGCTTTAGTGCTCCACAGTATTACATTGCTAAGTTTATGTTTCTCGTAACTGGGTGTGTTTCCTCTCCCGTTAGCATGCTGAGAGTTCTGTCTGTAAGAAGAGTCCAGCTCTGACACGTGAAATGTCTCCCTCTGCTTTGCAGGTTCTGTCTAGAGGAACCGCCTGGTGTCCAGAGACTGTACGACAGGCCCTCCACCCCCCCTCCCTCTAAAGTCAACTGCATGTCTGACAAGGAGCAGAAGGACTGGGTGAAGGACGTGCAGGGACTCACTGAATAGTAAGGCACAGTGAACAACAGATACTTTAGAATGAATAGACAAAGCACAACCGTTTTAATAGTACTCATATCTTTGTATTCATCCTGTTGCTGCATTTTAGAATGAAATAAATAAAAGCTAAACAAATATATAAACAATAGCAAGACTGTGCAATGAAAAGAAACAATTACATAAAGATATTATGGAAACTAACAATGTATACCTGCCTGATTTGCACCATGACTCGACACTGCAATGATTATTGTTCCACATTGCAAAGCCACAATGATGATCTGATGATATGGGCTGTTCTGGAAGCTACATGACTACAAAGATGACCTTTGTAGCCATGTAGCTTCCAGAACAGCCCATACAGATGCGTTGAATATGTCTTGGCACTCAAATTCAATCTGATCACTGGAAAATATGACTGTAAATAACCTTAAAGATCTTATTTGAGAAACACCATTGATCTGGATGTTGCCTAGGTGGTTAAGATATTTCTAAACGTCTCCTAAGTGTTAAACCAAACAGCATGATAGACCGTCAAAGACCTATCCATCCCTAAATTATGATAACGTGTGGCCTCCCCTCTCTTATTGTCCAAATCCTCTCTTAAAATGTCTTTTCTTTGTCCCAGTTTCAATAAGAGGAAAGGCATCATAGTGAACGAGACATCTGTGGTTTTGTACGGCCAGACGCTGGCGGGAAGGAAATACGTCCCCAAAGCCAACGGGGTGGTGGAGCTGGAGAAGCAGTGGGCCAAGCAGGTCCTCCCCTTCGCCTTCCAGACCGTGGTTAAGGTACATGCCGAAACATACAAGAAAAGAATACTCAGGTGATATTTGAAAGATAGCCAGGGTGAGATGTTAAGCTGAGATGTGGTGATTCCCAGCAGGGAGACGAGACTGCGGAAAGATCTGCCTGAGCTGAGGAGTGCAGACAAGCACATTTCACTTTCAAATAAATAAAATGAGAACAAGTGCGTGTTATGTGAGCAGTGATTTGCAAGCATATTTCAGGGTTCGTACGGTCATTGAAAACCTGGGAAAGTCATGGAAATTCAAAATGTAAATTCCAGGCCCATGAAAAGTTATGGAAAACAATATTTTTCCCAAAGTTTTGGAAAAGTGGCGTCTAATAAAAGCCGATAATCTATTTCATTTAATTAAACTGCG